GAAAAAATCATGAAGATCGACCTGTAACTTCCAGAGATATCCACAAAAGATCGCTTACTGTATATCGCACCACAGGATGTACTCTAGTATTATTTTTGAAGGAAAAGGACAAAAAAAGGTGCTGTGGACACAAGGAGATGAAAGAAGAAAACAAGAATTAGACTATATCTATACCTAGACTAGTATTCTTTAAAAGGAAAAGGACAAAAAAGAAGAAGAAAAAGACATGAAAAGAAGAAATTGAACATTTTGGAGATTAAATTTCCATATGGCCACCTCTATTCTCACCCGGGGCGGGAATAGTGCAGGCGAGTCTTTTGGCTATGAAAGTGGCTATTCTCACCCGCCCGGAAGTTCTCGCAAGATCTACTCCTCCCCTCTTCTTTCTCTCTCTCTTTCTGAATACTGTCTATCGGTGTGGACGATCAAATTGACCAAAACAAAGTTAAAAAATGATGTTAAAACACAAAAGTAAATTAATTTGGTTGTCTACAAAGAAGCTACGGCTATTTAACTTTTCGAATAGAGCCGAACTACGCGCGTCGCCATTTTTTGTTCTCTCTCTCACTCTCTCTGTCTCCCCTGCCCACAGACAAAATTGTACGCTTTTAGTAGGCTACAAGTACAGTTGTAATGGAACGTTTGTTCACAGCACAGAATTCTACAATTTTTCTCTTATCACAGTAGAATTCTGTGGTTTAGGGTGAACGCAAAATTTGTTGACACGCGCACCGGGTGAGAATAGCCACAAGACCCGCCTGCACTATTCTCACCCCGGGTGAGAATAGAGGTGGCCTTTGGCTATTCTCACCCGGTGCGCGTTCACCGTTATAGCCTAGATCTAGGCCAACAAATTTTGCGTTCACCCTAAACCACAGAATTCTATACTGTGATAACAGAAAAATTGTAGAATTCTGTGCCGTGAACAAACGTTCCATTGCAACTGTAGCCTACTAAAAGCGTACAATTTTGGGCGCTTTTTCGGTATTCCCACCCCGCAATTTTATTCACGGGTTTGGGCTTGGGCCACAAGAGTAGGGGGGTTTCAGGGGGGCTTGCCCCCCTTACCTAATAAAAATAGGAAGGTGGGTTTCAGGGGGGCATGCCCCCCTGAATTTTACCATAATTTAATGTTTTGCAGTTGTTAGGTTTGATATCTTAGCTCACCGCGAATCAAACGTATAGATCTAGATGTCTAGATGAAAAATCTCGGATGTCCCGTGTGCAAGTTGCGCACGTTAAAGACCCCTTGGAGGTCCAAAATCGATAAGAGTAGGCTTCGGCCGCCACCCGGGCAAAATTCAAAATTTCCTACCAATTGAAAATGTTTGGTGTATCCCGCGCGCTCATATGACCTTATGCAGTTGCGAGCGCCGTAAAACACTTACACCCCCCCCCCCCCCAAGGTATGCGCTCTTATTTTACCATATCTATCCACATCCCATTCTGATTTGATTAGTCCTTTTGTTGTTATCCAATATGGAAATGATATGCCTTCGTACATAATGTCTTTTTTTGGCATGGGCATAATGAGGTATTATGAAATGCTTTGTTAATGTGAACTTTTGCTCTGACTTATAGGTCTGTCCAGTTTAAAAAAGTATTTGCTGTACATAACATTGCTCCCCTATTTGGGTTTTGTTTGCAGTCTCTTTTTGGGAAGATCAAAAGTTCTGTAAAAGACTTACTGATACCATCATGGCTTTCTCGAGGATCTGGTGACAGTGACACTGATGTGAACGGCCAGGAATCTGGAAGACAGGTATTTTTTAAGATTTTAAAGCATAGCTTGCAAGCTGGGGGTGGCTCACACATACCGGGGTGAATTTTCGGTGGTGCTGTTTGTGGACAGGCTTGTGATTTACATTCAATGCTGCTCGCTGACAGAAATGTGCTATTGTGTCATGACATCACAAACTCTTTACACTTATCATACTGGTAGATTCTAGAGTTACATAGTTCACGTGAATGGAACATGGTTAATCCATGAATTTTTTTGCTATTTGAGCAACCTCTTAAAACAGAAAGACCGACTAAAAATAACATTTGGCGGGGGGGGGGGGGGGGAGAGGAGAGGCTACACCCCCAAAGTCAAAATTCGGCTCAAAATTATGGAATTTGAGTTGTAGGCATTATTAGCTTCCTCAGCTTCTCCTACAACTATTTCATCGCATAAGAAACCCCCAAAACCGTATTTTTTCCCCATACCGGGCATGTGTGTAACCGCCATTTCCTCATAAAGTCAGTATTTTATTTTTCTTTATCGGCCGTTTTCTCAAAACGCGACTTTTCTCTATATTTTTTTGAATAACTCCACCATTTTTCATCCAATCTTCATGAAATTTTCACAGAATAAAGAGAGGAGGTAATACTAAAAATTTGTCTGTTGAATTTTTGATATACGGAATAGATTTTTGTTGGTGGTGTCTGGAGTGGATTTTCACGGATTTTTCGCAAACGTGAATGCTACCTCAGGAAAAAATTCATTAACATTTTTCTAATTCGTTTAGGAAAAAAACAACACACAAATTTTTAGATCTAATGTTTGTGAACACGCATGCAAAAAAACAATCAATTTCCGTGAGCGATAAGTGCGGTATTCATTACGTAAGGCATGTCAACAAAATCCAATATGGCCACCGTATCCATGGAAACGAAACTTTTTCTCAAATTTGATTGCGGTTTTTATGACTCCTTACTATGCTTGTTATATGTGTGAAATTAGGTAAAATTCGGTCCAGTAATAAGCGAGAAAGCCTTCAGGTGTAGCCCCCCCCCCCCCTTAAGGCTGACTATTTTATTTGCACAGAGAGCCGATCTGCCACTCATCCCAGTTCAATCCCAACTATCCTGATTTTCTGCCTCAAATCTCTCATCCTGATTTCGATCATGTGTGTCCCTATTTTTTGTTCTGCCTGTTGCGCAAGATTTTCTAAAAGTTTACTCTGCCTTGGATCTTGGCTCGCATGTATTATTTCTACTATGAGTAGTATCGATTCAGCATTCTGACTTAAAACATTCTCAAGATCTACACTTTCACTTTTGTGAGGCTACCACTGAGAATTATCTGATGATGCTAGCAATATCACACACGCCCTGTGCCGGCAGTGCAAAAACATGGTGGACTCGCTCCAGCCAGGGGTAACCATGGGAACATGCTAATTTATAGCACTTTTTTTGTGTGTCAGCCCCCATGTATCATACATCAATACACACAAAAGAAACATTTTTTCCATTATCTTCAGAGACAGTCAAAATTTTATTAAAGAAAGAGAATTGGTCGATTATCATCATTGCCTTTCTCACCCTGGGCCAGGAGGGCAGGCCAAAATTGCCTTGGTGGGGCCTAAAAATCAGATGGCACCGAGGCATTTGCTAGGGCACCAAGGCAAAAATTATAGATTATTTTGTTGATTAAAGTTGGTAATACTGGATCGTGCATCACAACGTTTATATAGATAACAATAAAATTAGTTTTTGCTCTCTATAAAAGTATAGAGTTTATTGGAAAATTTATAAAATCATGAATGAAAACTAAGTTAATCACAGTTTAGTAAGCTCATAAAAAAAACAAAAGCACTAAAAATCAGTTTTAAATCAAATTATAATGATCACAATTTCTTCTTGACTTTTAAAATCGCTTACAAATTTTTGGATAGAGGCACAGACACCATCCGGCACGTCCAGAGGCCGGATGGAACCACCGCTGAAACACAGGTAGACATTGCAAACAATAAATAGCTACATCTCTCTCCTCTAAAACAGTGCTTCCACTCTTCCGTATTTTTACGGAAATCCGTGCTTTCTGCCAGTTTCGCACTTGTTCCTCCATCATTATCAACTCCCTCCGTAAAAATCTGCGACAGCGTAGGACTACCGAAAATCCGTAGCAAAAGAACTGTACTTGCCTTTGTATCGTCTTGTACAATATAAGTTACGGATATTTACGGTAATTCTTTCGGCAACAGTTTGCTACGGTATAGAAATCTTGCCAGATTGCGCATTTCCTGCCATTGGCCATTAATCCGCTATGCCCCATGCCTTCATTGCGGGTTGGTTGGCAGTACATTTTTTACCTGCAGATTGATAAAAATCTGACGAACTTTTTGCGCCACTTTCCTCCCTTCTATCATTCCCTCATTCCGTCTGTCTATCTTTGGATTGTTGCTGCGGCTGGAAAATCAGCGCGTTGATCAAGTATGTTTACTTGTGATCTTAGGAAATTACTGTCAGAAAGAAACTTTTTCGCAAATTTATTGTCTAGATCTAGAGAAATAAATTATCAGGGCGAAGATTCTACAGCACGGGAACGCGATAAGGGC